CCAGGACAGCTGTGAACTCCCAGACTGGAGTTTGCACTCCAGCTGGAGGGGTTGTCACCAGTAAGTTGTGACACTTTCAGCTTTTACGTTTTCCTCTTCTGCCCCCTTGTGGCCATTTATGTTGTCATACAGCAAATTATCCTCACCTCATATTTCTTTAGTTGAAATTTAGGTGAAAATTAAAAGGCTTATCGTGCAGGTTGGAGACACTGCTAGAACAATGTTTGTACAAGAATTCAAAAGTTTATCTTTCAGTCTGTCATAGCATCCTTCTTATTAAAAAATAATAAAAAATGCACCTTGAAGTCAAAACCAAAATAACAATCACCTATTTTTTTTTGCTATTTTAGTGCAAATAAATATCATATTTTATGTTGTTTATACTGTTTTTAAATGTTTTATGATCTTCTTTCTCTTTATTGTTGCAGGTTCAGTAGTGTTGCTTTCCTTGGCCTTCCTCATGCCAGCCTTTTATTACATCCCCAAAGCTTCTCTAGCTGCTGTCATCATCTGTGCGGTGGCTCCCATGGTGGATTACCGTGTGGTGGCTAAGATGTGGAAGATCCGAAGTGAGTGTCATCTTGCTATTTTAATTAGTCAAGTCACTTTTATTTATGTAAGATATTTAAATTAAAAACAGAGTTTACCCAAAGTTCTTTGTATTTGACTATACAGAGTAGCCAAAATATATAAAAAGGATGTGGAAAAAAATGATTGAACTGAATTCAATTTGTCAACTGTTGTAAACGACTTTATATGGGAGGGAGAATTGTGGAGTCTGGAGCCAGACTCAGTCACCGTCTCAGTCCCCCATTTTTAGGCAAGAACATAATATATAACATGTGTAACGTCTAGTATTGATGGAGGATGTAAAAGGCACTTAAACGTTAATGATGATGATTTATCCCCCATAGAGCTGGACCTTCTCCCCTTTTTTGTGACGTTCCTGATGAGTTTCTGGGAGGTGCAGTACGGCATCGTAGGAGGTATAGCTGTGTCTGGAGCCCTGCTGCTCTACAGTATGGCCAGACCCCAGATAGAGGTGCGTTATCTTTTTATGTCTGTGTGCAAGCAGTGTATGAAACTAGTCATGTGAAGTGAGTTTGTTTGACTCAATATCACAGGTAAAGGGTTAAAGGGGTTTACAAGCATAAAACAGGAGAAAAAAACAATTAAGAAGGTCACAAATATTAAGTCATAAAATGGTCTTAAAAGTCATAAAATACTAATCCGTAAAGTACTAAAAATGTAAAAAAAATACATGAAAAGAGAAAGAGGGGAGGGAGAGATGAAGGACACAAACTTGGTATTAAAATGAGAAGAAGATATGATCTTGATGAAGAGGATAATGATTAAGGATGATTTGACCGTGAAAATGTCTTAAAAGCAGTACATAAGATTTTTTTTTTTTTTTGTTAGTATTTGCCTGGGTTAAACATTTGCTTTTTGTAGGCACGTGAATCAAAGCTGGATCCATCCTTATCCACCCAGAGAAAAGTCATCATAGAGTTAAATTGTGATGTTTTGCTGCTTCTTCCTGTCACACCAGTGTGTGATGACTGGCCCAGCTTCCAGCAGCTAAACTCTCTCAGACTGCATCTTATATCAGGACCAAACTAGAACCCAGATGCAGGAGACGCTGTGTTGTTTCATAGTGGGGTATTCACCATTTCAGTTTATTTTAGAGCCAGTGGTGGGAAAAAGTGTAAATACAAAATGCAGAATGTCCGACCGTCTGTTCATGACCTCTGCTGAAGCGCACTTGGGTTCTGCAGCAGGACAAAAGACACCAGCGAGTCCACCTCTGAGAGGCTTAAGAAAAACTAAATGAAGAACTGGAACTGGAATGTCAACAGAACTTTGAGACTTTCTATGAACTTCTTAAATCTTGCCCTGCCAATACTTAATAATGAATAAGCTAAAAATAA